TGATGATTAAATTGTATTTAATGCATTCTTTGAAGCGAGGCGGAAAATGATATGAGCAGTTCTCAGTGCCCTTTCATGAAAGAACATGTCTCAGCTGGTGGGCTCTCCTTGTTCAGGAGATTGCCTGGGATTATAATAGCAGCTGCATTCATGGTGAGGCAAAGAGACGGTGTGACCCAGCTACCTTTTAACTTTTTTCTTTCAACCAGTACTAATGAGGATGGCATGTGGGAGAGGAGAGGGGTGTGTGAGTTTATAATCCATGTGATAATCTAGACTGCAGTTAAATATTGTGTTGCAAAAAATGTAGGTCAAGATTTGCTGAGTGGTCTTATAGGTGGTGTTGGGTGGGATTAGGATTCACATCTATTCCTCATGCTATCGCTATCTGTACAGGTGGAAAAAAAAAGGTTCCAAATTAGCAGGAAATTAAGAGACCCTGGCAGAATTTAAAGGCAGAATTTCTCTGGAGGGAAGCAGAGATGTGGAGTCTTAGTCTTTGCTCAAAAGGTCTGCTTAGATATTGGACAATATATATCCAGGCTATGGCACATACACTGCAAGGGGTCCTGAGATTCTTACAAAATGTGGAAATTGAGAAAGCCAGTATTACCTCCAGCAGTGTGTAGTATGCTGTATGAGATATGATATAAAAGGAGGTTGGCGTTGTTCAGTAGAAAAATGACTAGGTGTGCAAGTGTTAAATAGTGACAAAAATCGAATTTGTGTGTTTTATGTAAAATATATCACAGGAAATTTCATTAAAAAAAAAAAAAAAAACAAAACAACCAACCAACCAAAAAAAAACCCAACAAACAAACCCCAAACCCAAAACCCCTAAACCAACCCACTCTGAAAAAGAAGAAACAAAAAACCTAAAAAGGAAATATTTTCTTGTCTTGTTGCTTCAGTTTTGAAATCTGTAAGTTACCTCTCTATGTCTTTCTTAAAGCTTTATTTAGGAAAAAAGTGTTAGTGAACAAAAGGTTAAATATGTATATAGGAAGAAGAAAGGAAAAAGGAACCCCAATAGGTTTCCTTTTTCAGGCAGCAGAAAGAGAAATGGATGATATGAAAACTATACTACTTATAGAGCTACTTATAGTTTAAAAAAAGGAAAACAAAAGTTGAGTTGGAGAAGAAAGTTTTAATGAAAAGGGTGTAAGCTCTAAGGCCCTCCCCTCCTCCTTCTCCTCCAAAACAAAGTAGAACTCTTTGACGATCTATAATATATATTCCTGTTATATCTCATAAGCAATCACTTGTTCTCTTGTTTAGCCTGAGTATGCAAATGTTTGCTTTTGGTACATTCCACCAAGCTTAAGAAAAATGGAGGATGGACCCGAATTTTGGCAGAAGCTACACCAGGTAAGTGTCACATGCAATGTTATCTGTAGCTTACTGATTTATCTGTGTGCCAGATAAGAATGTGGAATAGCCCTTGGCTTTGCTCACTATTAACCTACCAGTAGGATGGGGATTTAATCCTTAAATACGTGTTGGTAGGATTTAAGTTTGTTTTCTATTCAGAAAAGGCTAATTAATTTTTTTTTCTTAATGTAAGAGATCCAGCCATTTACAAGTACTCAGTTTACTATCAAAGCTGTTAGCAGCTGGCAGAATGAGCAAAGACAAACAGTGTTGTCTGCATCTCTCATCTGGACAGATTATTCATTACCTGTTTCAGACACTTACTGTTGTCCTTGGAACTTGTCTTTAATTATCTGTGATAATCTATGATACTGCAAGTAAGGAAGTGCTTAAGAATACTTTCTGATGTTAAAGAACCCATAAGTGACAACAGGAATACAATGGGAAAAACTTCTTTGAGTGTTTTGGTAACTCTTTGCTACCCTGGTGGAAAATCATGAATGTCTTGAAAAAAGCAGCAGTAAAATTTTGAAGTTGCTAGTAGGGAATCAGTAGTTAAGACGTGATTAAGAAGCCTGTAGACACTGTGGTATTATGTCTTACTGAATAAGCTATTCTGTGAGGAATTGAATTTAAGTCATTGTTTGCTCCTCTCTGTAGCAGCTTTGGTGTTCTGCACTTCTTTTTTCCTAGGATTTGCTACTAGAAATTTAAACTAGAACATAGATGTGTATTCACAGGAATTGCTTTCAGTTTATGGTGGGTGCCGGGTGGATGGTGTATATCTTTAGGGGTGCCGTCTTCCTTAACCCGGTCTGTATGTACCATTTTGGAAAGTATATTTAACTTTTGCATTACCAAGCCATGCATAGCCGTCTGAGTACAAGGGCTTTGCATTTACTATGCTTTCACAACACATGGATGGGTCATAATCCTTTCATGAGGCTTCCCTTCCTCTCATTAGAGTGGAAGGCCTATGTATGTACGTATGCACACACAGAGAGCTGTAACAGCTTGTCTTCCCATGGAGGAGTGAGGATTTGGGAAAAGAGCAATAGGAAAGCAAAAGCTGCAGCTGCCGCCTTTTGATTTATGTGTGCTACAGAAGGGACTGAGAGGGAAGGGATGAAGCACAGTGAATGGCTTTGAGTATGTATGTTGTAAGTGGCTTTTTGAGTGTCACTTACTGGTTCTTTGCTGTGCTGCTCTATGGTGCTTCCAGTCAGGGTGCCTGCCTTTATTTTATGTACCTATATAGGTAGGGTGATGCTGGAAATGCAGATTTCCTAGCCAGTTTTGTGGGAGAGAACTTTAGGGGAAAGGAGCTGGTGTGCAATTTCTCCCAAGAACTGAGCACTGCTGCTTCAAATCTCAACCACACTTTTCACAGGCAAGGCGACGTTTTCTTGATTCTTATGCTACCTCTGATGAAGCACTAAGAAACCCCAGATTCTAAAATATAACCTATTTTCCTCCTCACACAAAAGCCTGGAAAAAAAAACAACTGCCACGAACCAGACCAAAACTCCCTAGCAAAGCAAGGTACCGAATGGCACAAAATCCTCCCCCAGAGGAAACAACAAATTATGAATGTTAGCTGTGCTGCTTTAGGCATTGCTGGGAAGTTCTTGAACACTACAAAAGTGAGCCCATACAGAACCAAAACATGTTATTTCACCTCCCTGATTCTCTACAGGGACAGGCCTGGGGTTACTTTGCTTTCTGGATACTGATGCCCAGTTTGGGGCACAACAGGTATCAGTGAGCAGATGAGATAGCAGCAGTGGGTCCCAAAAGTAAGACTGACTTGACTTTTCAAGCTAATGTCAGTTTCTTCTAACATTGCTGATGCTAACAGAGTCATCATTATATTACATTAATCAGTACAAATATATGTCTGGGCAAGAAGGAATGCATTCTGATGAGCAAGGTTTAAGAAGATGAAGACTGTAGAGGTTTCTGTATTATGTTAGTGATGGGCAGATGGGATGTGTACAGTTTTTCGAGTGCAAGTGCTTCTTGAATATTCCCAGCATTTCACTAAAATGTTTTAATTTACAATTTGTCTTTTCACACAACATTTTAACATCAGTTATTCTATTTATCCAGAAATCAATTTTCCTTTTTGTTGACCTGCATATCTGACAATAATTAAGAAAATGTATGTCTTAAAAATCCCTTGAGCAACTAATGGATTTTATTGAACTGCTTGTTCAGCAGTATTGCTCAGAATAACATGCTGTCTTCTGTGGTTAGTTATGTGAGTTTTAGTGCTGCTGAAAGTTGATAAGTAAGTAGCTCTGATCTCAAGTCCTCAGCTTTGTGAAGAATTTGCATAGTCCTATGCAAAATAACCCTGAAGGTTTTCTGCTGTACTGGCTCCACTCCAGCTTCCATGACCCACTTTACGTGTAAATACGTCAGGGCTGACTGGAATGCAGTGTGATACCTGATTCCGATGTCAGTGTTCTATCCGTCCTACATAAGCTGTGTCTCTCAGAAGCTTCCCACCCCACTGTGATAGGCTGTTTATTTTAAACTCCAGGGCCTTCGACTTTCGGTATAAAATGAAGCCTCATTTAGAGTCTCCAACATGCAAAACAGAAAGATGATAAGAAGGAGTGGCCTGAAGGATTTGTGACAGCCACTAGCTGGTTATTTGACTCATCACCTGAACACTTTAGGATAAGGGAAACAATGCGATGATGGGGAAGTAAAAAACAGTATAAATGGTATTTTACTCCATTACCTAGTGAAAATGGGAGTTCTGTGCACATCCACAGTCTGACACAACTCTCATTTTTTGGGATTATTGCAGGAATTGGCTGTGTAGTGAAACTGGTTCTGCAGACAGTACAGCAAGACTTTGGTTGCAGTTGAGTGGTCCAGATAGTTCATGCCCTGAGCACTATGGGCATAGTCCATAATGGATGGCATAACCCATGAAGGATGTCAGGTGTTTTTCAGTGACATTCTTCACAAGTGAAGAGGGATTAATTGTTGTAGAAACCGTACAAATGGGCACACTGTGGTAACTGGGGAGCTGCTGATACATTTGACCAGAAATATTTGTAAGTGGTGTTATTTTGTCATTGCAAACTGGGGGCAGTTGTTGCTGACCTGGGTCTGACATAATTGAGGGATGAGGGAACAATGGCTTTGCTCATACTGTACATGCCCCTTGGTGGTATTTTTTCTTCTCTTCTTCTTGTGACACACCTGAAGATTTACTTTGTTTACTGCTGAGGATAGTCAGTATGTCATAGAGAGAAAAGTGTAACTGGAAATTACAAGCTGGAAATGGAAGTGAAGGAAGTAAAAAAAAAAAAAAAAAAAAAAGTAAAAAGAGTCCAGAACATTCCAATTTTCACATTTTTTTCCATAACCACAAATATCTATGTATATTTGTATATACTTGTATCTATGTATATACTATGTATCTATGTATATACTATGTATCTATGTATATACTTGTAGCAATCTTCTCTTTAGAAAAATCATCTTTCTCAGCTTATGCCAAAGTGTCTCCAGATGATATAGAATTAGCTGATTGATAGCATCTCTGGAAATCCTCCTGGCAGCGCAGAGGCTGCTAGGGCACAAGGAAGGGTTTGGAGGGGTGCATCTAAAACTGTTGCCATCCTGTTGCTAACCCAGACTGCCAGCCATGTCTTGTGCATTTTGGATCAGCTTGTAGTCTACTCAAGTAGCGTAATCTATAAGACTAAGGAGACAAAGAATTAACTATCTTTAACGGTGTCCTCCTCCTGCAGGAGGAGGATCCTGCAGGAGGATCCTTGCTGAAGGATCCTGGAGCGTAACTGTAGGTAGACTACTATATATTGAATACTGCTTAGTAAAGAAAGCTAGTGGTATATTGCCAAGTATCACTTTAGACCTCAAAATGTTGATGTGGTTAAAAAAGTGTCAGTAGGTTCCTGGTAGGTCTTTCATGCTTTACTAAACTTTGCCTGGTCTGTAGTTCTAAATAACATATGCTGGAGTATCAGATTTTCAGTAGTTTAGTTTCATTAGTTCAGCCTTTATACACAGTTGTTAGTTTCAATTACTCAAAACTTTAGCATCTCAGTGACAGATTCTACTTGTGTGATGTGTTTGGGATGTTTTGTTTTGTTTTGTTTGCTTTCTGTCCTTTTGTAGATACATGTAGATACATGTATACAAATAATACAAAATTTATTGGCAGTATTAGAAGGCTTGGGATACAATTTCATGATAAAGCCTATATAGCTTGGAATGCCATTTTTGCCCCTTCCCTCTTCCCCTTAGTAAAAGCTAATCTTATCTTTCCCTCTCCCCCCCACAAGAAGAAGAATATGGCTGTCTGCTATTTGAAGGCATATTTGTAAAATAGCCTGTCATGCTGACTGGTGTTGTGATACATTTATATAATGAGAGGTTTCATATCAAAGCAGAAATGTTAGGAGGTTGAAGTGGTGTTGCCTTGGCAACCTCTGAATCCTGTGGTCTTTGTGGTATAAATCAAACACTAATCAAGGACCCGATTCAGTATTCTTTATGTATTCAAAATTCCTATTGACTATGGTATGAGGTTTGAATGGGAAGGGAAAATAAGACCAGTTGGTTGTATTAATAATGTTTGCCCTCTCTAGTTTGGAAGAATAAGAGAAAAATGACATAGATTATAACCACAGTACTAAATGCAGAAAGCCCAAGTTTATGCACAAGAAGGGTCCCCAATATATCACTGCAAGTGTTTTTTCACTTGGGATTTTTGTTCAAAATGTTGTTACTTGAATGCCTGGCATCCTTGTGTACTATACTTTGAGTTTTTCTGACACTTGGATAAGAAAACAATTAAACAATATTTTAATGTATGTGTTTGAAGAGTAATGGTAGAGACCCATTTCTGTGAACTTGTCTTACATGAGTAATTTTTATGGTAACAAGTAGCCTATTGACTCTAGCATCTAGCTCTGACATGAGTTTCTGTGGAGGGCCACATCAAGTGACAG